AAAATACTTCTAATGGTGCTGTAATTTTTGGGTTCCATAGTAGATCTGATGTAAATGAGTTTCATATTAGCTATTTTTATATAGGGGTAGTTCTATATATCATTTAACAAATGGGACATTATAAAACTGTTGATTATTATTATGATCACATTACAAATGACTAAATTTTGATCCCTTAAATCCTTAGTAGTGCAAATGTTCACTTTGTCTGGTTTTGTTGCAGTATGCCCCATATAATAAGATAGATTGGAAATAAAAGAAATGATAGGATAAAGTGTGTATTAAAATTTATTTGTAGTGCTGGTGAAAATTAATCTGCATGAATAATTTTATAATTTTAGCCAAAAAAAAGATTAGGAAATTTTTGGAAAAATGTTCTATTGGTTGCTTTACTTTTGGACTTTCATTTAATAAAAAGTACAAAAATAAAAAATAAACCAAGAAAAAAGTTGGGTTCTTTACTTTAAACAATACCAAAGTTTTAAAGACAAAAATTTCCCTAGAATTTAGCCAATTAAATTCAATAGTATTATTATTACAAATTCTTTACATAAATAAAATGTACACCTGCTACTATATATTAGCAATAATCTACCATACATGCAATAAATGACACATTGTCCTTCCTTTTTTAATTATGCCTACAGTTCCATTTTAACATCATCCCAAACTATGTATATATCTAGCTATTCCCACAATGAAATTGTACCATCCCAACCACAACTTGCAAAAGTATTAGTTAGTATTGGATGCCAACAAATATCTGTACATACTTCCCGATGTGCATTTTCAATAATCTTGATTGGATGTGTTGTAAACCAATCATAAAATATTATTCTACCATCAGCATCTCCTGATGCTAAAAATTGACCTCCTTTATTTGATTCTAGTGAAAAATTGCATCGTATTGGATATCCATTTACATGATGAGATTCAAATCTCTTACAGATTTTTTTTAATTATTAATTAGTGAGAATAGTGAGAATGAAGATAATAATAAGAATATGTTAATTTTAAAAAATTTAACTACCTTTCTTTTTTCTAATTTCCAAGGTTTTTCAATACCAAAAATTGCAATATAATTTCCATTGGATTGAGCAACAAAATGATTTTGTAAAGGATGGATTCTTAATGCTGTACAAGAAAAGGCTTCTTGATAAATTTGATTTGAAATACTAGTCATCTTATATAAATTTATATTATTATTCCATGAAGAAAAACAAAACAAAATATAAAATCATAATATAACCTACTGAATCAAAATCCCATACAATTATATTCTTATCAGCCGCATTTTTAACTACATAATCTGAACATGTAAGTAATTTATTACCATCAGGAAAAAACTCAAGATCATTAACACCTCCCCAGAATTTTTTAGTTTCTTTTATAATCTTATTGGATCGTATGTCCCATGATTTTATTCCATCTTTCATCATTCCTGAAACAAAAATATTAGTTTGGGTAGGATGAAAACGAAGACTAGTTATAATTTCTTGATGTAAAAATGACTAATAATAGAGAAATTTATTAAGAATTTATTAGAAAGAATTGGAGGGTTAATTAATAATAATAGTCTTAGTGTTAGTAGTATTAATAACAATTACTTGAATTGTTTTTCCTGCTTCAATATCACTCAACTTTACTATATTATCAAATCCACCTGAAAGAATATTATTATGATTGAAGTCCCATTGCACATCCTTAACTGCCCCTATCATACAAATATTTTTAAAACATTAGAAAAAATTATATTGAAATTAAATGTTCATAATACTTAAATAAAATAAATATTTATTATATACACCATTATGTTGAATTGTTTGAACACATTTTTTTGATCTAAAAACATCCCAAATTTTTATTGATCCATTCATTGATGCAGATGCCAATACTTGTCCTATAAAATATAAAATAAATAAATATGCAATTTTTAATAAGTGATAATACTATTAAATACAAAAAATAATTATTATACCAAAAGAGCCACACCATAATATTGAAGTTAAATGATAATCATCATTTTTTGTTGAAAAAGTATTAATTTTTCGTTTTGGGATTATACTAAATTGTTTCATTAATAATTCTTTATCAGGTTTTTGTGATTTTTGCAATCGCTTTTCAATTTTATGAGGAAGATCGAGCAGCAAATAAGGTTGTTTTACATTATTTTCTAAAAAAAAAAAATGGTTTAATTGTGATACACAAATATATGAAATTATTAAGCTTTCTAATAATAGATGCCTTGTTTCAGTGATTGATCTTGATTAAGCCTGTTATTATTGCTGCTGCTGCTGTTGCTGTTATCTTCTTCTTGCTGTTGTCGTGTTATGTTTTTTTTAGAAACATATTTTCTTACATTTTTAGAAAAAGTTACAACTGGTTCTTGTTTCTTGATGTTTTTTTGAAAAATTGATTCATTGTTATTATTTGAAGAATTACCACTATTATCAACATTATCATAAATTGGACCATAAAGATTTTCTAATTTTCTTTTTCTTGGTTGATTTGTTATAGCATTGGTAGGAAATGATAAAGTTTCAGACGCATTGAATTTTAATTTTTTCTCTAAATTTGAAAATTCAAAATCAAGAACAACTTCTTTTTCACTATCACTGTCACTTTTATATGTATTATATAATTCATCCATTTTCTTAAACTATTACTATTTACTTTGTCTGGATTAGAAGCCAAGTCTATTTCTTGTTACACAATAATAATGGAGGAGGGACCCAGACGGTAATTATTAATTCGTAGTCCGCCGATCAACGATAGAAAAGCCCGGAATATTATTTGATAGCCTTGGTCCAAAAACTTATATACTAAAATAAAATAATTATTATATATACTTATTATACAATAGTGATTATAAAAATATAAAAAATATAATAATTTTTAAGGAATTTTATATTATGGAAAGTTTTTATATTGGAAAAGTTTTGGATTCTATTATTGGTTATATGATATTTCTTGGCAGACCTTAAAATTTATAACATTTATTAATATCCACTCTTATGATAAATCTTGTCATCACATATCACATAAATAAATTCAACAAGTGCATATTATAAAAAAAAATATATTGATGTATTGTCTGTTAAAGAAAATTAGACATTATATTTGTATTCTAGTTATTATCTGTATGGATAAAACATCATGATCAAACCATTCCAAGAATGGTATGATCAACATAAAATGGTCAGGCTTCACTTGGTGCAAAAAAAAACAAAAATAAAAAAATAATGGTTTTTATTGATGGTGTAAAATATGCGTGGTATGTATATTGTCTATCTCTTTAAATTTTATTGTTTATTAATATAGCAAACAATTGTTATATTTATTGATAGAAGAGTATATGTAATATTAATCCAAATGTTTTTTTTTTTTTACTATTACTTTATTTCTTAAAAGCGCAACATGCATAAAAGGACATAGATCAACATCATGTCAACATAAGGATAGAGTTCTACTTAAAATCAAAGGAAAAGGTCGTCCTATTACTCAATGCACTCATTGTCGTGAGCTTCGTAAAACTCAAAGAGTTCATATAAAATGTAATTGTGTTGAAAGAGCAAAGGAAGGTTAGTTTAAGTTTATTTTTCACATATGCATATTCATATATTGTTAGTTATGACAGTTGATAATTCATTAACTCTTTACTCATCACAATCCAAGTCAGATTTATCCATAAAAAGTTCTAGTAATGATTCTTTTGATTTATTAAATAAGATAAAATTAGAAGAATCATCTATAAATTTTGAAAATTTGAGTGATAGTGATAAATTAAAAGGTGAAATCAATAATTGTTTAACGGAGTTAGGCTAGATCGACTAGATAAATTTACTAAAAAAAATATATAATTTTTTATTGAATAAATTTTTTTTCTTTTATAGTACATTCATTACTAAATCCGTGCAATTGTTTAAGTGGTGACAGGTGTATTTGCTGTAGAGTACTTGAAGAAGATGATGATGATGATGAAGGTGATGAAGAATCCATCTCACCAGCAGAAAATTCAAATCAAAGAAATCACAGCGTTAATAATAATGTTGATTATAAAGATGACAATCCACTTGCAAATACTTCTTCTTTTTCATGGAATATTAATAACTACCATAGCAGTAACTTGACAATTAAATCAGAATCAATGGAATCTACTTCTTCATATTATAACATTCCCAAACAAAACTTACAACAAGTCAATGCAATAGAAGGTGATTCGCTTGCTCAAAACGCAAATCAAAAATATTCTAACAAAATGGAAGAGTATGATGAAAAACCAGGAGACTTAAGTGGCGTTTTAGGAGCTGAATTATGTCGTGGCACGTCTGACGAGCTGGTTAATATGATTTATAGTTCATTTAAAAGTTGTCCTTCGGCTAATAAAAATGGAAATTGCTGTGGTTCTGGCTCAAAGTCAATCTGTAGATGTGGCAGTGGATGTAAATGTGAAGGATGTAATTCACATACATTAAGAGTTGATGCGAATTCTCAAGCACAACCTAATCTATCAATACCCAAGTCATGTTGTAGTACAGCTCATGTTATTTCAAAACCTAAACATACAGTAATAATAGATGAAGATGGAGTTCCTTTATGTGGATGTGGTTGCAAAAAGCCAAATTCTGAATGCTCTGATTGTGTTGAAAATTTATGCGAAGGTAAATTTTTCAATAATATATTTTATATAAATTTTTTTAATATTAACATGATTTTGTTTTTAATAGAATATTTGTTAAAACAACAACCATTTTAAAATATATCTATGTTATTACGTATATTCCATTACAACATATATTATAGTTATTTTTATTTTTATTTTTTAATTAAAGGAAAATTATTAATCTACTAAATAATTGTTATGTTATCGTTTCCATTATAATTTATTATCAATGATTATATAACATTAGTGGAATTAGTAATAAAGTGAACAAAAATTTCAAAATTTCAAGATTAAACAATCAGTGATATTTTGTTCCTTGTTCTATAATAACATTCTCCCTCCATCTTATTTTTTATACATTTGCGAGGGAAAATAGGCAAAGATTATCACTAATAAATTCATTGAACTTGCTATTTAAATATTCACTGTGGACATAATAAAAAGTGCTGATTATTTCAATTTCTAAAACTCAACAAATAAATAATAAGCTGGACATCTTACAAACGTTAAAGTATGATAATCAGAATGGGAAGTAATTAGCAGAAGCACAAGCAAGAATAAACTAATTAGAACGATTATCAAGTCAGACTCAAAACAAAATCCATGGTCAGGATTATTTATTTAAACTTTGAGAAAAAAGAAATCCTGAGAAATAATTGAAAGATAATTATAACTTATTGACTTATTATAAAGAAAGCAAATCCAATATCACATTATTTTGCTGGACGATTTAGAAAAAGCAAAGAATAAAAAAAATTCAAGCAGGTTTAATTAAGCTTTTAAGAAAGTTGAGGATTGGAGAAAATTTTACTAACTCTTACTTTAATGAAGAAATAGGCTTAGCACATATCACATTTTTTGTTGCTGTGAATTAAAAGATGCAGTGATTTAAAAGAGTTGAAAGGCTATATATATACTTCAGAAGAAAAAACGCAAATCCTGCAACTAAAAGAAATAGTATGCAAAAAATTTATAATTTTAAAAAATTTGAAATCGACAGTTATGTTTTAGATTCAAGAAAAATGGATGCCATAAAATTATTGAAGAACGCAATGAAATAAATGCATATGGATTTAATAATGAGGGTAATTTTCATCCTTTGGATATTTGTGAAAATGACCATATAATTGAATTGGACCCAGGTTGAAAGAATTTATTTACAGCAGTGAATGGAGAAGATAAGAAGAATATGATTTATTGCTCAACAAAGGAACGGTATTTTCAAGCTGGATTCACAAGAGCAAGGAAAAAAGAGAGAAGTATAGATTAAGCATAGTAACAGTGTGGAAATTATTTTACATAGTAGGTATTTAGCTCGTGTAACAATTCTCTAAACAGATATTCCAGCACCATCATGTGAAGCCAACACCTTGTGCCGTGGAATTCAAAAAGAGCATGCATATGTTGGAGAATATATTAAAGATATTGTTATAGGTAGCATGTGATGGAAATCATATATCAATCGTCAGAAAATATTATATGTGAAAGGATAATGAAGAAAAATAACAGGACAATGGTGGCATCCGGAGATGGGCGATTTTCTAATAATTCTAGAGGTCATGCGTCGAGACCAATAAAAATGATTGTATCAAGAATTGAAGAAGAGGTGTAGAGCGAGGATGATTGATGAATTTTGGACAAGTAAGATTTGTTCTTTGTGTTATTGGTGGTTTGATTAACGTCAGAAATCCTGGTCATTCCGAGTATGTAAGGATATATGTCTGGTTTGCTATTAGAAACTTTATATTGATCTTTTCTGATTTCTTATAGTATGCACATAGACTCACTGGAATCGTGACGTAAACGCCGCTCGAATATAAGAAATATTTTCTTGTCCATAAACTCTACTGGTGGATGGGTGCCAATACCATTTAGAAGAGAAATTTGGGTTCAATGAATAACCTCCCTTTAGTTTATCCATGCCATTGGGGGATGCGAGTTTTTGCAGTAGTTAGATTCGTTAACAACAATGTGATTGTATTGATTTAATATATACAAAATTTTTTATATAAAATTAATTTTTTATAATATACAAATATTATTAATATAACAGCTTACAATTATTTAAAAATAAACAAACACTAAATATATATTATATGCAAAACATTTAATGTGACGATGAATTTTAATTAAAATATGATGCATGTATGTGATTTGGTAAAAGAGTAATGATTAGTGAATAATAAATAATAGAAAAAGGATCAAGAAGACCTTAATGAATGTAAAGATTGTGGTGATTGTTCAATATATATTTCATCTTCATCTTCGACTGCTTTTTTAAGTTGATGTTGCAATTTATTATTTTTATAATTCTCTATCTCTTTGTTAATTGCATTAATCAATTGCTATCAAATTATCAAATAATGATTGTTATTATTTATATTTATATCAATTATATAGATTAAGTTAAAGTAAAAATAAAATAACTTACAGTTTCGTTTATCGGCTTAGTTAAAAACGCATCCATACCAACTTCTGTAGATTTTTTAACATCACTACCAAAACTATTAGCTGTCAAGGCTAATATAGGTATATCGATACCATTATCTCTTAATAGTTTTGTTGCTTCATATCCATTCATCACAGGTGTTATAATATCCATTAGTATACAACAATAGCCTATATCATCAGCGTTATAAATCACTTTGTTATCATTGTTACCATCATCATTCCAAAACTTATCACCATTATCAACCTTAACATTGTCAGTGCCACTAACTTCAACTGATATTTCATCGTTATTTGGTTTTTGTTTTTGTTTTTGTGGATGTAATAATTGTTGTTTTATAATAGATTTTTTTACCATTTCTACAGCTTCTTTACCGTGATTTGCTAATTCAACCGTAAAATTATTTCTCAGTAACATTTTCGAGGTGACTCTCTGACAAACTAAATTGTCTTCTACCAATAAAACATTTAATGGTTTTTCATGCGATGATGATGCCGCCGGTTGTAATGAATGGTGCGATGATTGTTTTAACGAAGATCTGGATTTGGATTCGGATTCGGATGACGAAGATTTCTCGTCTTTATTATTATTATTGATATCACCATCACCATTATTAACGCTACCATCACCATCAGTATTGTTTTGAGCCGCTTGCGCCAAATAGGTGGACATAATCAATGACGGTGGTCTAGGTGCATGTGATGATGGTGGAGGTGTATGAGGCGCGTTTGATGATGGTGAATTTCCTTTGTTTGTTATGGATATTGTATTGGGAAGCGTTATGTGTAATGGATGATTTGATGGCGATCGTGGTGAATTGACATTATTACTTGATTTATTATCATCAGCATTGACTATATCAAACGATGAAGTAGTAGAATGATGTTTTAATAATATGGTATTATCGCTATCATTATTATGAGTTGAGGTTATTTTTGATGATGGTGGTGAAGATGATATAATAGGTAAATACATACTTTGCTCTTGCGGCGAAGAATGATAATCTTCTTGTAAGTCATCATTTATGGAATCATTATTATTTAAAACCAGCTCCTCTTGTCCGTTATTATCACCAGAATAATAGGTTACAATTGGAGGTAAACCAGGCGATAAGCTTGAAGAATTAATATTAGCGTTTTCAATTAAAGAATTTGTTGTTGTTACTGATATTTCATTATTAGTTTGAATATGATTATGTATTATATCATCATTCGTTATTGGCAAATGTAAATTGTTGTTGTTATCATTATTATTATTTATTGTTATTATTGTTGAAGATGACCCACCAGAACCTAACGCATTATTACTGTTATTATTTACTGCATCTTTTAGCTTATTATTATTACTATTATTATCTTTAATAATTGATTTATTTGCATCTTTTGACGATTTATTACCTAATACTGCCAACATTATTGAACCTTTCCTAATAAAAGTGTTACTTTTACTAATACTACTACTAATACCACTATCTTTATTATTATTTATCGAATTAGATTGTTGTTTATTAATACTACGGACATCATCTTCTGATTCTTCACCACTTGTTGTCATTTTTGATCGTTTTGAGTTTATTTTATGAGGTGCATTTTTATAAGATTTATGGCTACGTTTAGGCATTGCAATTGACATGCTTTTAGAACTTCTTAATTGTGATTTATTATCAGAATCAATTGTGTCCACTTCTAATACATAATTAAGATTTCTACCATCAGTTGAACTGGGAGCGCTACCAAATTTACTGTTAAATAATACGTAACCAAGTCCATCGCCACCACCACTAGATTCATTTCTACTAATATTTGTATCAAATGATTCTCTGATTGAATATTTTGCATCTTCAGTTAATATCCATATGTCAAACCAAACTCTACTAGCATGTTGAGTAGATTTTGTGATTTTATCAACCGTTAATCTACCACCCATAACCTTAATAATAGCTTGAGCTAATGCCATTGATAAACCTTGAGCATGAAACCTTGACCCAATACTTGAATTTGTTTTCGAGTAAGGTTTAAACAATTCCGAAATTTCCTCGTCTGTACGAAATCCTTTGCTATGATCTTTTACAGAAACTCTTGTTAGAACACCTTTTGATTTACTTTGTTTTAATACCTGTAACTCTAATTCGATAACACTGCCCTCCGGTGAAACTTCAATTGATCTGGCCAACAGTTTATTTAACACTTGTTCTAATCGATGCGGATCGCTATATAATTTTTTCGGGAGATCACTATGTATGATGGTCTTCAGGTTAATCCTTTTACTTGAGGCTTCAATTGATTGGATTTTAGCAATATTTTGAATTAACAAATAAGGATCCATTTCTTCAGATTTTAATTCTATTTCGTAAGGAGAAGGATTTGTCAGATGAGTCAAATCAAGCACATCGTTTACTATGAAATTCAAAAATCTTCCTGCTGCCGTGATATAATCTAATTCTTCGTATTGATTTTTTAAAGACTTTTGTAACATATCTACGAAACCTAATATGGCGTGAGCTGGATTACGAATTTCGTGACATAAGAAAAATAAGAATTCGGTTTTAGATTGATTTGCCAGATCAGCCTCATTTTTTGCTTCGATTACAGCCCTTTCATTTTCTTTTTTGAAAGTGACATCTCTAAACATTACAACTTGAGTGAAATAATTTTTTTCAACGACAGGTTGGGAAAAGTTTGCTTCGGATTCAAAAGTGGTACCATCCTTTCTTCTTGCAAATACATCTTTCATACCAGGTTTGACAGCCACTTCCGATTGATTTGAATCTCTTGTTAAGCCAATACCATTATTATTATCATCAAAAATTGGAGGAGTATCAGGATGAGGTAATAGTAAATGACTTATATGCATTTTATTTTCAACTTTGATGTCGTCAGGAGAATAACCGGTCAATTTTAAAGCATGTTTGTTTGCGCCAACTATTTCACCTTTTGAATTCAAGGCAACCAAAGGGTCAGCTATCGCTTCTAATACAGCCTTACTATCAGCAGTCATTGCTTTGAGTAAACTTTGAGTTCTGCCTAATTTTTGAGTTTGAATGTTAGCCATATCCCTGGTGTATAAATATTTTTTAAAGTATTTAGAAGTTAATAAACCTAAAAAACCAAAAAAAATTATGAAAATGACCAAGGAAATAGAAGGAATAATATGGGGAATTTGCGATTGGTATAAAGATTCCGAGACATAACATTCAAATTTCCAATCTCTGTCCAAAACTTTGTGCTCAGAAATAACAGGAGGTTGAGCACGATATATTGTTTGATTTGATTGTAATCTGGAATCAAATAAGACAGAATCGTCATCATCATGATCTAATATTCGAAGAGCAACGCCATCTTCACTTAATTGGTTCAAAATACTTGCAAAATTTTTGTCAATATCATAGATGCCAAATATAACGCCATCAACATCTGAGTCAGGTGGGTTATCTTTGCTAACTGCATTTGCATAAAAAGGAAAAAATACAAAAATTCCTCCGATGCTCGTGTTACTAGCTAATGGTAACTTATTAGTTAAAGTCATGTTTTTTGTTTCTCTTGCTTTTGTAATAGATGAAGCACGCTTAGACTCTGAAAAGACATCATAATAAGTTGCACGTGGTATAGGATATGAATATTGAATAGGAAAATATTCAGAAGCATTTCCACGATATACGAATTCACCGTTAGCATTTAATTCTCTTATCGGTCCATTATCTTTTTCCCAAAGTAATCGCATATCATTTTCTATACGCGGAGCAAAATTTATAGACCTTATATTCTGTATATATGTATATATATATATATATATATATATATAAATAAATAATTTTAAAACAAATAATTAGAAATAGTTGATGAAAGAAAAGTGAAATTTTTAAGAAGGTGATGGAGATATAATTAATAACTTAAAAATAAAAAAATATTTATATTTCCTCCTCTTTTTTATTAAGGGGGAGGGAGACTAAAAAAACTAAAAAAAGTTTCTTCATTAAGAAAATAAAAACTTAATTAAAATTAATTATAAAAATATTTAATAAAATACATTAATCATTCATCTAATAACTACAATTTTTGTTTTTTTTTTTCTAAAAATAAATTCAAATGTCTCCAAAATAATGTGAAAGAAATTAAAAAAAAAAAAAACTTTAAATTTATAATTACCGAAGCATCAAATGAAGATAAATTCCCAAAACGATTTATAGTTGTAATATTAATATTTGTAGCAACAGTGAAGAAGGCTAGAAAATCTCTTGTTATATCCAAACTATTAACAAAACCATTGATTATAGCTTTCGTACGTTCATCACAATTATATGAAATTGTGTCATCGAAACTCTGTTTTTGGTTTCTTACCAATACAAAATAGGTAACTAAACCAAGTAATATTCCTATTAGAAATATTATTGATGGTACTAATATTGTGTAAATCGAATGATTTGTTGGGTTAAATTGTCTGCAACAAACATTTCCTATTCTATGAAGTGAAGAATTATCATTAATAAAGATATTTCTATAATATGTGTTTTTTGAACCAGGAAATTTGTTATGAGTGAGAGATTCTTTCTTATTATTTTTGTTAATTTCATAATTTGACAAATTGTTTGTATCGTAAAGATGTATGAAATCAGTTCTAGCTTCAGAAAAAACATCTGAGGTACGTGGTTGTCTATTAAAATCATCATAATTAGACGGTGATTGTATATTTGTCGTTGCAGAAGCTGTTGTAGTATTATTAGTATTAATATTAGTTGTGGTAGATGTAGATATGGCTGTGGCAAAATTAACATTATTGTTATTATCTTTATCATTATTAACTATTGTAATTGCTGTTGATAATTTTTCAGAAAGATCCTGTTGATTATATGCGTTATCGTCGTCATCATCGCCATCATTTTTAATTGATTTTTCAATTATTTGTTGTGTATTTGATGAGGAATCTAATTTACTAATCGCAGGAGAAGAATTATTAATAATATCGTTGTTATTGTTTTCGTTCATTATTTGTCTTAAACCAGGAAAGATGCCACTTAAAATATGAGGAATGCTTCGTTGAGAACGACCACTACTAGCAGTGTCTTTTTTTAAAAGCCAATTAGAATTTGGCATATAATCTAATTATTATGTGTATAATTAATTTTTCTATCTTATTTTAAAAAAGAATTAAAAAACGATAAATTAACGCATTGAATTTCACACAGAAATTTTTTTTTCTAAAATAAAAAAGGAAATAGGGAATTTCATTCATTTTATTTTTATATATATAGCGTTAGTATTAGAAAGAAAAAGGGAGTTATATATATATAGACATTGTGCTACAAAAAGATTACAGGGGCCAACATTTGATATGCTGCTTACAATCAACTTCTTAGAGTACAAATGTCCAATTGCAAATCTAATATTTCCAAGTATTATGAGTTTCAATGCATTGCGTTTATTATTTTCTCAGTGGGAAGATGTAAAATGCCTTATAAAAACAACGTCGAAATCAGTCCAAGAGACAAAGGTCTCGTGTCAACTTCGAGCCCACGTGAATGCCAGTTGTGATATTTTAGAGATCGTGGGAGATGTAATATAGATCAAAGGCATATGGTTTGCTATATGTTCGTGTCTTAATGTCTTTGCATGTTAAATTTTGTTATTTGGATCAATGATAATACATTTGTTTTATCGATGCACATCATTTGTAATGAAATGCGAAAGAAGAGCAAATTTTATATATGTGAGAAAAATACAAATTGCACAATCCCCATATATTAATGGCTAGATGTATATGTTGGCGGGAGGGTTTATTTTTAAGGTATGGGTTCTGTTGCCATTTTCTTTTCCAAGCATGCTTTATTGACTTGGTTATCTCAGAGTCGGATAATGGGGCTATTGATGTTATATATTTCTAACATTATTTTGATCAATTGCTTGTAAAATTTAGAATTATATATTGTTGTAAACTTGCAAGGAGAGATTTCTTCTCTCTGTTCGTGCGTGTAACAGTTAAAAATAGTAAACTGGTCCCTAAAAATTCAATCCCCAGAAAAGTTTTATGTGGCGTTACTGTACAAATAAAACGATTTTGTTTGTGTAAAGATTTTTATTAAGAAAAAAGAGCGAGGGACAAAAATAGATTGAAATATTTTTGACTACAATTAGAATAGTAAATAATTGACAATGAATTAGCATTTGATTATCATTCCCCTATTTCTTTACCAAAATAATTCATTGTTTGACACAGTTGCACGAATATGATTTATGAGTGGGTTTTGGCAATGAATTTATGGCTTGGTCCGAGACTATTATTACAGTTTTCTTGAAATAGTAATCTAACAAAGTTGGATGCGAATTCTTATTAACGATAGATGAAAATATACATAGCTCTATCGTAAAGGTATTAAAATGAATATATTCCCGGAAGGAAAGCACGGGAGGACATAAAATCGTAATAATAATAATTAATAATAAATATTTTTTTTCACCATCCTAACTTTTTATTCTTTCCTGTGGTCGGATGGATAATTAAAGATTCAATATTAAAATTTGAAGAATTCATACAGCTATTTGTAATCTAACCCATTTATGTAATATTAACATCCGAAATTGTAAAGTTATAAAAAAAAAGTAGAATTTGTCGGGTTTGTCGGGTGTAACATTATTATTTATTATCCAGTCAATTATTGATTTTCTGGAGATAATTTCTAAATTTGTACTGGTTACATCCCGAAAATTTAAAAAAAATTTTATTTTTTTAAAAAGTGTCAAGTAATATATATAGTGGTCCATTTTAACCATATTTAGTATTCATAGGTATTTTTGCAAATAGCTACCAAATCTGGTTAACCACACAATTTATTATTATTAGTCGTGTGACATGTCAAATTAAAAAATTTGAAATTAATCGTGTCACATGAAGCTTTTTTAAAATATCTCGTTAATTTTATAATAAACTCGAACTTCATTATTAGAGTAAAAATGAAAGTACTCCATTAAAGCTTTCTAATGAATACCGAAAGGTCTTCTCTACGTAAATTCACGACTATTCAAAAATGGTATTACTTTTTCATTTCAAGGCTCAGATTATTTCTCAATATTGCTTTAAAGACTTGATAGCAGTAAAATTCAGCGGGAGGGTGTAGCGTTACGCAACCCGCGTGCACACATTTTTTAGAAATTTTTAATTTAATTATAATGAATATTGTATTATCCTTCTTGTTTTTTATTTTTCCAATGCTCTAGTGCTTTTAAAAAATCAAAAATTTCAATTTGTGGTCCATTGTTAAATGATCATCTAATGTGTCTACATTCATTTGTTTTCTCATATTATTTTTAATTAACTTTGTTGAGAAAATCTTCTTTCTACATGAGCATTAGAAAGGGGTATAAGAAATCCTGTTCTAGCAACTAATAATATATTTGAAGTATTAAAAGGAAAATCCTCATCAGTATCTAAATTGTGTTTTCACAACTGAATGAAATGATTTCTCTATTATTATTTTATAGTACTGAAGAAAAGTTTGTTAAATTTATTCTTGTTAAGTTCTCCTTTGTCAATGATTCCACTAAATTTATTTCCATTTGCAAATTTAATTTCTCCATAGAAATTACCTATAATTGCATAAGTGACAAATTTAATTTATTTCGTGCACACATATTTATAGTGTAACGTTACACCCCTCCTGCTGAATTTTATACACTGGTTGACAGAATAAATAAGCCACTCTCTAGCTTTTACGTAATAGGGATTTTCCCAAAAATTTTATTTGTTATTATCAAAATGGTAGCCCCAATTTTTTGTGACATCACAATATTGTAATAGAGTTTAGTTGATCTTTTTCTAAATTAACTAATGTTTTATTTTCAATTCAAAAATTTTTTAATAATAGCATGTTCCAAAACTTAAATTCTTTCCTAGGACTTTTTATACTACCAATTTTTACTTTAATTTTGTATTATGGCACGAAATTACTTGTTGAAAGAAAGTATAAACTCCATGTTGGTTCAATTGGTTTTCTATCAATTAACGACATCGAATATTCCAACATTGCCTCTGGACCAAATCAACACACTTTCAAGGCTTCTACAAATAAAATTCATTTACATATAAGACGTCCTCATTCTGGTCGTAAAACATGGATAACATTGACCATCAACGATCTCAAAATTAAATTATCATCCATAAAATTCTTCACACAAGTAAATTCACATAGAAGAAAACCTAGCTTGATTTCTTCTGTTCCTCAAAATGCTTGGTGGTCTTCGGTTTGGATTGTGAAATTTACAATAGCAAAAATATCTGCGATTCCATTACAATTTGTCATAGCAGCTTTGTCAAATTATTTTGATATATATATCAGCAAAATAAATATATCGGCCGAAGATTTGGGACAGTTTGAATTGAATGATATTTCATTAGGTGCTGCATTATTTGCAGATGTTGATGTAAAAAGTAATAATAGTAATAACAATAATAACAACACTAAAAATAATGAACAAGAAATTCATTCAATTAGGAATCATCATCATCTGTTTTCTAAAAAATTTCTTAGAATAACTTTGGCCTGTTTAAATTTATCAATTCAACATGTCAAATCAATGAATTACCCAGCAATTGTTTTTCCTTATCTTTCTTCAATAACTATTTCTAGTCATTTATCACCAACATGCACATCTCTTTTATCTTTCGAAATTGGTGCTAATTTCACTGAAATAGATTTAAACATTGATTCGCTCTTGTGTTTATTAAACTCTTTAAAAAATTCCTTGCCAAAAAAAACCCATAAACGAGATCCAAAGGAAGCTTTAAGAAATGCTTATTTAAAATTAGGATTGTCTCGCACTTTTTCAATGGCTACACTTACTCGTAAACTCATAATGAGCCGAAGAAGGAAAAAAACTCCAATAGAATTTCTTGGTCTTGTAAATATTTCCATTGATAAAATAAATATCATATATAATTTTGACGAGTTAAAAAAAATAATTAATTACATACCAAAGGATCTTAGTGTTGATTCAACAATCAATGGTTTTTTGGTGAAATTAGAACAACGAAAGCTTTTATCAAAGAATGCCGAGCCTAATTTATTCAAAAGATCTATATTTGGTGATGGTTCACCAGAACCCGTTGAATTATTATTGAACATTTCTATAGACAATGTTGAATGTGATCTTATAAATCAGGCAGTCATATCTCAAATGTTACAAGTTAGCAAAGTAAACAGCATATTTACATTTTCAAAACCTCTAGTTCTAACACCAGATCTTGATCCAAATTCTTTATCACTTAGAGGAACGTTTGATATAATTTCCCCCGAACTAATTTTTTCTTATAATGATTTTAATATGTTGGGTCTCATAATAAATGGCATAAAAAAGATAGATTCAAACAACTCAAAACCTCAACTTATTGAAGATTCTCAAGAAAATACAATCAGTTTACCTAAATTGGTGACAACAATTTCAATTTTAAATCCACTTATAAAAATAATTGAAGTTCCATTTTCACTTACTAACAACAATATTCATAATTATAATACTTATAATGATGGTGATGGTGGTAATGATAGATGGTCACAATTAAAATTTGGTTTTCAAGACATTGTTTTAGATATCAATGGTGATTATACTGAATTGAATGATTTGTCTGCATCTCAACATAAAAAAACTTTGGAAAGAAGGTATAATAAAGGATGGGCTCCACCTGATTTTTCTATGGTGTACAATTTAATAGTTAGTTTTAAATCAAGGAAAATGAGATTGTATACATTAGATAAAGATCTGCTGATTAACCATTCTTGGGAGATTAATATGGTTTCATCTGCATTAGGATCAATTACTTCATACACCGATGACAAGCAGTCTAGTACATTTGCTCCATCGTTACAAAAAGAATCTTTTCAGGTGCATGTTAGTTGGGCAATTGATGGAATAGAAATTTCATTATGTGATAAAGGATCTTTTAATATATTAAAGCAACTATTAACGATTTTTGGTAATGATGAAAATGATAATCACATTAGTTCTGAAGGTCATCATTCAGAAACATCAGCACTTTTACCACCATCACAACCTTCTTCTACTACTGCAAATCAGTCATTAATAATATATGCTGAAGTTTTGAAATTTCATTTTTCATTAAATTCAATGTGTATTAGGGTTGCTGGAGCTGATTGCTATGTTGATGCTTCAACATCAAGAGGATTTGAGATTGGGCTGCAAGAAATTGTAATCGAGTACCAAGGTGTCAGGGCATCAATTGATCAAAATTCAACTCACAATCAGGAAAATGCACTTGGTCCTTCAACTAAATTAAATCATGATAATGACAATATTGTGCAAGGTTTTCTTAAAGGTTTCAAAATCACACCAATTTTGGCACTTTGGGATCATGAACTTATTGAACAAACAAAACCTTTAATCTCCATTCCAGAAATTAAGCTTGAAAACATATTATCAATTAAACTTTTAAATAATGATTGCAAATTTGCTTTTAATACCACAGTCAAGATTCATGAAATTTATCTATTACACTCATTACTATATCATTATTGTTTTATAGTAGCCTTTATGAATGTTATAAATTTATTTCCAAAATCTTTGGAGGGCAAGGCAATGAAGAGTTCTGGTTCTAATAAAGAGGTTGTTGACACAAAATTCAACAAGATTGAATTGAATCTGACACTTGATCACATTAATATAAATATTGACTTGCCTGAAGATACAAAATTATTTGTAAGACTAAATGGAGTAAATTACCGATTTGTTTCACCAATAGTTTATAGTGTCAGCATAAAAGAAACAAGTTTTTTTGGAACTAGCCCAATTGAACAAGATTTGTGGGATGAAATAATCAATATCAAGAATATCAAAGTTTTGCATACAGAGGATGATACAAAAAAAGCAAAAAAAAAATTAGCAAAAAACAATCTTGAAAATTTGGTCCGTCTTCAAGCTGATGTATTTAATTTTCGTGTCCCTTATAAATATATAATAGCAGATCTAACAGAGAATTTAGCTAATGAAATCAAATCAATAAAACAATTGCACAGTCGTATCAATGACCCCACAGCATTGTCAATTCCAGATCCAGAGGAAGAAGGTCCAAAGGTTTTACCAACAATTCAAATTAAAATTGCAACTTTAATTTTTAAAATAGATGATGATCCTTTTGAGGCAAAACTTTCAAATATCTGGAAATTAGGATATTTAGAACAGCGAACACGATTAGAGCGTGATAAAGCTTTTGAACTTAAAGTTGAAAGACTTAAAAGTGATGAACAAAACCAACTATCAAAAGATGATGCAGACTTGAATAATGATGAACCCCATAAAAACCCCATCAATAGGAATTCTGATCCTTTGACTGATAAACAAGAAGAATCATCAGACAATAATACTAAAAAATCTCGCCAACCTGTACCAACACCACGTGCAAACTTAAGAATTGAGGCTGCACAAGCTGCTCTTGATCAGTACAATTCTAAAAGTTGGATCACACGTGTTAAAGCTGATCAAGATACACTGTTATGGCATAAAAATACTGATTTTTCAGAAGATTCTTTACCTATTTCAACTACTGAGCCTTCAAGATATCCAGCATTATTAAAAATTACCATAGATAAACTTTTGCTGACTATATCAACAGTATCATTTCCACTTGAACAATTACCACAATATATGTATGATATTGGTAAAGGCTTGCCATTAGATACAAAATTTACACTTCTAGTTCCTATGAATTTAAATTGCAAATTGAAGGAGGCCTGGGTTCAAATTCGTGATTATCCTTTACCATTGGCTCATATTCCATCACACTCACCACATAAAGGAAAAAAGGATTATTCATGTGTCATTGAAGGTAATTTGGTTGTTGGTGAAGAGTTAAGAGGCGAGGAGTGTTTACGAAAACCTATTGTGGAAGTAATTTCTCCAAGAATTTTATATGGAGAAAATTGTACTTATAAAATGACAGTTCCAAGAACATGTTCACCTGTTAAGTTATATTCTAATTTTCAAATTAAAATTACTTCATCAAAACCAACCGTTTTTTCATGGGGTATATCTATGCAACCTGCTATTCAACATATGGCCAAAGTATTTGAAAGTTTTACAAAGCCCAATCCAGATCCATCAGAAAATATTGGGGTTTGGGATAAATTAAGATTAATGATGCATATTAAAATTATGATGGATTTTATAGGTACTGGTGATGTGCATTTTTTCACAAAAGGAACGCGAGACCCTTATTTAATAACTGGTCATGGATCTGGTTTTGTTTTAAGTTGGAGACAAGGAATTGAGATTAGGTTAGGATTTCCCAATAATCAAAAAGAGGTTTTACAAGTTAGCAGCGAAGGATTTTTACTTGGTATACCAGATTTGGTTTCTGTTGTTGCTGATGGTAGTTTATCTGCTGACAATCTAAATTTACCAGCTAAAAAATTACAGGGTGAAACTATTGATGGTTCTGAAACAAGCACAATTGAGATTGAAAATATCTTAATATCTAAAGATTCACAAGTAAGTTTTTTAAAAACCTTGATGAGGCTTAGTGGTGGAGTAAGGTATGGAATGGGAATTGATTTTCATAGAAGTTGTCGCTATAGTGAAGTTGATTTTTGTAAAACATGTGATGGTAAAAATAAATGTCGTTACAAAGATTTTATCCCACATTATAAAGTGATAACAAGAGTTCCAGAATATGCATTTGTCGAAGATGGAAAGGCATTTATATTTTATTATTATATGATGATGATTGATGATTCATTTCTATTTATAATCAGATTAATAATATTTTTGACTTTTAAATTATAAAAGGTATATGATTCTTTCAGAGGTTTTAGATCAAATCTTGTTCATATATCTGTCAGTGTCACATGTCCTTTGGAGAATGATCGCAGTGAGATTGATGACGAAAAAAAGGTCAATAAAAATTCAATTCAATTAAGTCCTAAAGCACTCCAACACGTGTTGGCGTGGGCATTTCTTTTTGAACCTGCAATGTCTATTCCTGTTCGTCAAGGAGATCTATTCCCTTCACTTGAACCACCAACTGTAAAACTAGGAAAATTTATTCAATCAGTTAAAATAAAAGTTTGTGTTGGGCCACTATATTTAAGTCACTTTTATAGACAAGATGATATTGAAGATCTGTATGCTGGTATGACTCAATTAATTGGAATTAAAGCAAAAATTGAATATTTTAAACTTGATATACATTTGCAAGCACAAGAAAAAATCATACAACTGATTGGAAAAGAAGTAAAAGGTAGAGAAATATTGTTACACGAAGCTGAGGTTGATTTAAAAGATCTTGATTTACGTGGAATTTCTGTAAAGTTTATTGAAGAAAATGGGTTTCCAGGGTCAGAGAATCATGAGCCAGAAAGACAAGAAAGTGATGAGACAACGAAAACACATGTAGAAGATGAAATATGGATTGATGATGATGAATATGTGGAATTAGATTGTAAATTACCTGATGCGAAGCCAGTCGTTCATATATATCCTCATATGAAAAGTCCACAAATGATGTATTATAAACGACCAGATATACAATTATCTGAACAAGAAAGAAAATTTGATCATGATACTCATGTGTGCATAATGGGTCAAGGTCGAGGTAATTAGTTCTTTTTTTAAAATCCCAATACAAATAAGTTTATTCAATTCGTTAATTGATTTGTTTATTTATAGTTACCCATCAAATTCAAATTGATTTTCTTAATGACAGATTGAATCAAATAAGTAATGATATTATTCAACTAGATAAACTGTCTAAAGATATTAAACAAAAAATTACAGCACATCAAGAAAATCCAAATATTCATAATGTGGTAAATTTTAAATATTTTTGTTATATTATTGGATTTTTTTTCCGCATAAAAATTTTTTTCAAATAAATTATTATTATCATTATTATTACTATTTAAAAAATAGACACAATCAATTCAAGATGCTACTTTAGTTTTGTCAAAAAAACATAATCTCATTCAAGATTATATAAATAATTTGGAAGAGAGTCTTAATAAAGACATGAATGTCACAAAATTTATTGACACAGAGGATGTATGTGAAGATGAAGATGATTGTTCAAATTTTGATTCGCCTACATGGGCAGATTCTCATGAAAAATTTGGTCATCAATTTGTTATACACAATGCAGAAGCAATTTGGAATAATTCCTTAAGAAATTTAATTTATAAACTTTGGGATCTTATTGAACAAAATCAAGGGCTTACTTATTATATGTCGATGAGAGCAGTGAAATTTATTCGTGATTTACAAAAAATAATCCAACAAAGAGCTGATAAAGAAATTTTGCTCAAACCTCAAGGCGAATCATACTCATTCTCTGATGACCCTGTGTTTGATGCCAGTATGGCAGCAGAAATGTTAAGAAAACTTGTTGGTGAAAAGAATACAAATTTTGTTGTTCTAAATGAAACATTAGAAGACAATGATATTAATAAGAAAGAAGAAAAAAATAAAAATGCATATGACAATATCCCTGAAGGTTATTCATTAAGAGAAAATTATATTGTAGAACTTATAAATCCTCAAATAAATTTTCAAAGTGATAAAAATCCTGATGCGAGTATTATAATGTGTATCGAAAGAGCACAACTTCAAACATTCTCCATTGTGGAGGATTGTTCGATTGGTGATTTTATTAATGAGGTAGTGAAGACAAGAACTTTCTTTGGATTGGACAATGCACAATTTTTCACCGCCGTCAAAAATGATTTTAGAAATTACTTATCTAGAATTTCAACTGCAAATAATTATGGAGCAAAAGGTCAAGAAAATTGGCCTGTTTGGGTTCCTATTGAAGGATTAATTAGTAATACCAAAAAGAATGCATTGCCTTTTCAAAGAGTTGTAAGACGTACTTCAGCAACAATGCAATATGATAAATTTAATAACTTGCGTATAAAAGGTGTTGGTGACGTTACGGAGGAAGATAGTTCATATACCAAGCTTAAAAATGCAGAACTCGAAAAAGATGAATTTCATAAAAGAATGGATACATGGAAAATAAATTTTCCTAGATTTCATCTATCAGCCACTTCTGCACAATACAATATCTTTTTAGATGTAATAACAGACTTGCTTATGTATCGCGAACCTGCTATGAAAGAACGATCAGAAAGATTGAATACAATATTACTTGCAGCAGATTTAGACAACCTTAGTGGTGCAGCCGAAAGAGTATTATCTTTACAAGAGAAAATTCGGCATCTTACCGAATTGAAGCGCCAATATCAATTATATTTAGCAGATTTGGGAGAGCGTGGAGCTAAGGAGCTTAGAGCAGTAGAAATAGATTTGATGAGTTCACAAGAAGAACTATATATTTTGATGGAAGCCATTACTGCGTCACAACAAAGAAAACAAATGACGGAAAGTAAAATGGCATTAAAAGCCGTAGTATCATTAAACAAAGTAGTATGGGAAATGCAAAAAAGTGATAGGACTCCATTTTGTGAATGGGAATTATCAAATGCATATTTTGAATGGACAACAAAAGAAGAAAACTCAACTTTAAATTTTCTAGAGATTGATCACGTGCAACTGATTAATAAACTCCCATCACCTATATTCACACAATTAATATGCCCATATATCCCTACCGATAATCGAAGACCATTTGATTTTAGCAGGACGAAAATGTTGAGAGTATACTGGAGTGAGATGGAACCTGTTGGTGGAATTGACATTATTGAACATTTTGAGATAAATTTGTTTCCATTAAAATTTCAGATGCAATATGATGTTGGTAAATTGATTATGGCATATATATTTCCTGAAAAAGAAAAGGCATATATGATCAAAGAAGGAGGTCCTGATTTTGCTGATAATATTTCATTAAATTTTAATTCACAAATTTCAAGAAATAATCTAATTAGTTTGAATAATGCTGAATTTATTGATATTAAAGATAAGGTTGATGAAATTGAATTGAATAAAAATGTAGCCGAGGAACAGAAAATGACAGTAGTTCAAAATAACAATCCGGTTAATGCTTCTTCTAATAATAATAATAATAATAATAACAGTAGTAGTGGTGGTCCTATCAGAAAAACAACTAATAAATTAACATCGGACTTTACAGATCAGGCACATGATCTTGTACTAATGAAAAATAGAGCATCACAAAACAAGACTTTTGTTTATATAAAAGTTCCTAGTGTTGCACTCAACTTTAGTTACCAGGTTAGTTATAATAAATATTTTATGAAAAAAAAATTTTTTTTATTAGAAATAGGATCTATTAATAATATCTAATAATTGTCATTTAGGGAGCAAAAGAAAAAAATTTTGAAGATATTTATAATTTTGTATTCCGTATGCCAACATTAGAGTATCAAAATAGAACATGGTCATGGTTAAATCTTTTGGAACAAGTAAAGAAAGGTAAATAAAATAAGGGAAATTTTCTTGATATATAAAGAAATTAATCAACTAATTAGTAATTGAAATTGAAATATAATATTTTCTTGAAAAAAAGATCTTCTTCGTACAATTTTATCTCATACTGGAGCTTTGTTGGAAAAAATTATAACGCAAAAAACGCAAAAACGTATACGACCAAACACCACAACATCAGATCTTGATATGTCATCATCACCATCAACGTCTGAAGAACTGTCTTCTAATATAAATAATGGTCATAATTCTTTGATCGATAAATCCTCAATTAGTAGGGATGAAAGTCAAAAGAAGCCCAAAGATTCTATGAATTCAAAGTAAGTTAAAATAGATAAATTTGTAAATAATTATATATATATATATATAACATATAAAATTGGAATTTTTTCTAATTTATTTTTTATTTAAATGTAAACCATTATATATTCAGAACAAAAATTAATCAACAAACAAATCAAAATAACAATGATTCTGTTCACTTGATACATAATAGAAAAGAAAGTTGTGATACTGTAACGTCAGAAACGTCAATAAGTACAAGGTCAACCACAATTTCTTCAAATGCAAATGATGACGCAGAAATTGAAGAAAAAGCCAGGTTGTTGTTGGGAAGGTTGTTTAATGAGTCAAGAAATCTCAATCATTAAATTTTTATATTTTATTTATCATTAATAGATTTTTATAATTAATATAATTTTTGTATTTAATAAAATATGTAAAATATTTATAATTTATCTAATATAAATAATGAGCCATCTTTCTAAGTTGGAAAAACCCATATTAATATCTTTTAAAAAAAAAACGGTTGAATCCACAAAAAGTCAATTCCGAAATGATATACCGGGTCAAATTGCAACATTTCTGGTAGCTTTAAACTGTATGATAAAGATAATGATCCAAAAATAATTGCTGCTTTATAACCTGCAAAAAAATAATGATTACAAGATTCACTTATTGATGTGGTTGGCACTGGTGGTGATGGCATGAATACTTTTAATGCATCAACTACTACTTGAGCAATAGTTATTGGATAGTATTTTATTTTTCCAGCTAATCATAATTAATTATAAAAGGCGTTCAAGATATTTTAGTATGTGCCGAACTTTTGGGAATCACAAAAATAGGATAAGATAATAAATTTTATTTGCGGAAGATTTGGGCGATTGATCGTGTGGAATTTTATCATTATAAGACGAATTTTAAAACCAGTTTATAATCATCAACTGGTTTTCACAAATATTCGGCTTAGAAAGTTGCATTTTTATTATGTTGTATCAAACGTTAGGTTCGGTTTATCAAGTAGGGTGGGAGCTATAATTAATAAAATTCGGCTTAATGAAATAATTTTTATTAAACACAATTTGGTTAATCAATTTTGGATCATTATAAAGCGAAAATCGGTTTATAGTATATAGTTCGGTTTATCGAGGTTTGACTGTATATGCTAAAAAACAATTTTACAAGGCCACAGATCAATAATTTTCTATTAATGCTGTAATGATGGCAATAATATTATCCATATTTTAAGTGTATTATTAATATCCAGTTTTACAAATATCGGTACTTTTGTTGATACTTTCTTTTTCACCAAACGCGCTTTATTTATTTGAAAACACTTTTTTTTAAGGGGAATGGAAATTTTTGAAATATGACTAATAAATATTTCTTATTAAATATATTTTTCTCAAATTATTAGATACTGATAAAAGGTTTATGAACTAAATAGGAATCAGAAAAAGTTTTTAAAGGAGCATTAAAACAGAGGATTTCTCTTTGTTGAGTTTACTATTAAAAATGTAATGACATTTTTGAATTGCTATAACTTTACGTAGTTCTTTTTGATATAAAAAAAATATTCACTAGAAAGCTTTTAATGGTGCAGTTTTACTTGGTTTAATAACAAAGCTTGGTTCTATTATGAAAATAAAAAGCGATTCGAATTTTATACCTAATCGTGTTCCAACGAATTTTAAAAATTCGTTGTATTATTTATTATTCCACAACAATATTACACTTCAGGTTTGTCATTACATCCTGCTCTTAAAGTCTGTGATTTCAACCACAGCATCTCTCTGAAATACTTTTTACATGCAAAGAAAAACATCAAGATGAATAAAAGAATAAAAGCGAACAAAACGAATAATTCGAATAAAACCAATAAAACCAATAAAAGGAATAATTCGAACAAAATGAATAAAGCGAATAATTCAAACAAAACTAATAAAACGCATAGTTCAAATAATTCTAATAAGAACTTGTATTGCAAATAGAAACTCTACACATTAACATTAATAACGGTAACAAAAAGGTTTTAAATTTAAATAATAAATATCAAATCAAATTATTTATAGGTTCAAATCAGCTCGAATCGAATCAAAGCACGAATTCGTATTCGATTCGAACGAAACGAATCAGAAATTTGGTGATTTGATTTGGTTCAAATTTCATTGATCGGAGCCTTAAATACCCTATAAAAATTTTTTCAGAAAATGCATGGTTTCATCAGGAAAATGCTTTTGAAATTATACATAGATCCTACATGTAAACAGCATATGAACACCATATCATGATTTGTATATGATTGACATATGTGTGGCTTTTGCGTAATGTGATTTGCACATTATATGGATAATTCTTATGTATTATAAGTATAATAAATTACACCTATAGTATCTGTGAACTAATCCAGTATTGTACATATAGTTCTCATATATGGGGCGCGGAAAATATGTACGGAAACGTGCTCCTTTTCATATATATTCCATACTATTATATTATTATTATGCAAAATTCCTTAACGTTAACCCATTACAATTCGGTAATCTAGTAACTATTGGATAAGGTCTTAATGGGTCGTAACACTAACATCGGGCATTACGGGCATTGAATTTTATACACTGACTTGATCTACTAGCATGACACCCCTAATATATTATGAAGAATCTATTTTTAAAATTTCACAGGGATAGCTGCACAAAAAATGTATAAATTGGGAGTTTGAAGTAATTTTTTCAGCCAATCCAAGGATCTAAAACAAGGGTTAACCTTACAATTTGAGAAGTCGGTCCTAAGGTTAAACCTCTTACCGGTAAACCATGACCCAATCTACTATGGTTGGCTTGGCCTAAAGACCTCATGTTGTTGCACCACGCGCTCAAATTTCAAAAATTGCGATTTTGTGATTCGTTCAAAAATGCAATAAATTTTTTAAAAGGTCACGTGGTATCCCATTTAGATACGATTGTCGAGTATTAGTCTAAATTTAGTAATGATCCTAGTGCTCAAATTCCTCATGAGCATAGTAATAGTAAAGTACATGTTTTAAAAAAGAATACAGTCAGGCCTCCATAAATGCTCCCCCTTGGGACTGAAGAACAGCATGCATTTATGGAGGGTGTGCATTTATAGAGGGAACAAATTTCCATGTTACACGATATTTAATACTTGCTATTATTATAGGAAAAAATTTTTTTTATCTATCTGTTATATATTAATGTTAAATAAAGTAATTATCTATCTTAGTTTTTTCTGATGAACTTTCTTCTTTACATTGATATATTTTTCAATTTTTATTAACAAATTTTAATTGTTCACTGGCATTTTCTTGCTGTAATAAAAAGTGCATACAGTTTCAAGACTTTTTAATGCTTCTTTAGATCTTATTATTGGTTGTTCATTGCTATCACCATCATCCTCATCAAAATTGTTAGCAGATATAGCCATTCTTTTTTTATATATTTCTGCAAGTTCTTCAATAACTTTATCATCTTGAATGGCAAAGCATCAACAAATACATTTAGATCAATTGATGATGCTTCCCCATGGAGTTTTTGTTGATAAATTCCATTATGATCTTTAAGTTTTGGAGCCACCCATGAGAGAATGGTAATGTTCCATCTAAAGACTAGTGCCGTAATCCAAAAAAGGAAAAAGTATGATTGCAAAAGTGGTCATAAAGGTAATTGCAACCACTTTTTATATGCCGTAAATACAATTACTACCATCATCATAATTTATGGCACTAGTCTTTAGTTCCATCAGGAACCTCCAGGCTATTTGCTAATTTTTAGCTTTTTCAATTATAATGGCATCACTCAAAATTGTTTTATTTTGATAAATTAATATAAATTCTTTAAGTGCAAGCTCAAGTTCAGGAATAGCTACAGACTTATTTCTTGGTTTTTGGATTAGAAATTTTTGTGTTAAGTATTTTGTCACTTCTTTGTATAATTCTGGTTATTATTGATTCATTCACTCTAGCTTCCTATTTTTGTTCGATCCAATTAATTGTCATGAGTATATAAACATAGTTCATATTTTTGGGAATCATTTAAAGATATTCTACTTTTTGAAGACATTTTACAAAGAATAGATTCAAATAAATGTTTGAAAGTTAATGAAGAGAGTAATGAATAAATGGGCAAAGGCAAGTGATTATTTTAGCTGATTATCAGTTTATGGATTAATTAATGTTCAATAATAATGAAGGAGAGTTTTGATTTTATTAAGTATGATTTAGACATTGAAATCTTTAGTTTTTTCTCCCTTATTTATAGCAATCCAACTTCCATCAACCTACCTTTGTTTTAATAGTCACTTGTATTAACACTTTGTATTTATTGAAGATAAAGGATTTATCCTTTCCAAATTATAAAGAAATCACAAAGCTATATAATAAGAATAAATGATATTTTTTGTACAAATAATTTTGTTGTAAAATACAAAGCTGTATGTAATAAGAATAAGTAATCTTGTTGTAAAATACAAAGCTATTTTAAGGACAAATAATTTTGTTGTAAAATACAAAGCTGTAATAAGAATAAATAATCTTGTTGTAAAATTACAAAGATATAATAAGAATAAATAAATTTACAAATTTTTATAATGCTACACACTAAATTTTCTCTGATTACACAAAAGTCACTTGGGGTGCATTTGTGGAGGGAGTTTACATATGAGTGGATTGAAAAAAACACTATGTGATGCAGAACATAGAGGGTGTGCATTTAAATCTAAGTCTCAAGATTGGGATCAAGGCATAATGTGCATTTATGAAGGTCTAACTACAGCAATTTTTTTTTGAGAAAATCTTTATTACATTAAAATTAAAGACCTATTCTATCAACTAATTGAGCTATTTTTTAAAAGGTAGGACAGAAAATGACTTCTATATTTTCAAAATTTGCACAAAATTTAGGAGGTCTTTAGACTGAGCCAACTATAATTGAATTGGGTTACACATAACCACCCAACCACCCCCATTAAAAGGTTGAACCTCATGTTTTGAGAATGTAGATCCTTGGATTGGGTGATTTTTTCATATAGAATTTCAATTCTGATCACTAAAATTTTATATATGAGTGACATTTGACCTCCTGAATGAACCAATGTCCTGCAACTATTATGTGATTTTGGTGTCAAAAGATTTATCTCTGTAAAAGGATTTTTTTTTAATATAGTTGGCTCAGTCTAAAGACCTCTAAATTTTGGGCAAGTTTTAAAAGTATAGAAGTCATTTTCTGTTCTACCTTTTAAAACAATAGTCTCATTGGTTGGTAAAATAGATTTCTACGTTTTATGTAATGAAGAGATTTTCTCCAAAAATTATTTGTTGTAGAGTTCTATTCTTTTTTAAAACATGTACTTTACTATGTTCATGAGAAATTTGAGCATTAGGATCATTGCTAAATTTAACTGGATTTTGATCATCATTACTAAATTTAGCCTAGTACTCAACCATTTGGCAGCAAGGAAAATAATTTTTTAACCAAAATCATGTGTAAATAGTGGTTGTATCTGCTGAATGATATTCATCGATTATTCACCAATTATTTGGTTAATCAGGTGTTGAAAATTTTTCATTGATTAATTAATTGGGTGTTAAAAATTTTCATCAGATAATTGGTGAATAATCAGTGGTACAGAAATATAAAAAATAAAAATTTTTATCCACATAATTGAAAGAATACATTAACATGTTAATACTATTTTATCCACTATTGCACTATCACTAACA